TGAACACGAAAAATGAACCAAACGTCAAGGACGAATTAAGCGCTCAACTTGACGCACATTACAGTCGGCAGGGAATCTGTGCAGGACTATCTTACATAACTATTCAATTTCCCTCAGTTAAGGGTGAATTTTCGGATGTTGGATGTAGACTCACTTCTTCATGTATGATCTTTTCTTATTTCTGAATTCTGTCACCGTACTTTTCACCATATCTTTTTCGGTTTTCGTCGTACTCGGTCTTCCTTTTTCGAACAAGTAAGGCTTTCCGTATGCGGTTTCTGTGTTTGAGACTGTGTTCTTCTTTCTGTTGCATGAAGTTGTGAGTCAGTACTTCGTATTTTTCGAGTCTTTTGTTACAGAAAGTAATATGGGAAGACGCAAACATGACAGGAAGAGAATATCCCATTCGAGTTTTGTGAAAAGAGAAGCTGATGAAGACTATGATACACGCTTACGCTGTTCGGAAAACTATGCTTCTTTGAAATTGTATTCAAAGAAGTCGGTTGCGAAAAATGACGAGGATAATTCTCCATCTGCGTCTGCGGTGGTTCCTGTTTGTTTGCTAACAAAAATGGTAAGTGTATTTCATCTTACTCCTGGTGTTCCATTGTGGCAGGAACCTTGCGAAAATGCCAAATATTGTGAGATGCTAAGTTATTTCAATTGTTCAATTGCATCAATCATCTTTATGTTAGGAGTGTAGGGTAAAGTCAAACAGATTAATTTTTTGATTACAGAGAAAGACTATACTGCCAAGGGATTTCTGCTTGCTAAAACCTAGGTATTCTTTTGTTTCCTTTTCTCGCTGACCGCGGCATTATTCTTAGATTTCTAGCTCATCCAGATTAATCTCTAAAAATGGTGGGAGGGATGAGGTTAACAACGAAGATGGACAGCTCCGTGACTCGCATGAACATCTCGTGAGATTATAATCTCCTTTGCTTTGATACTTTAATGGAAATTGCGATAATATGCAGAGGGATTTGAGCGTCCGTGCATTGAATGGAATGACCGCACTCGATTTCCGTGACAGAATGCTCTGTGGGTCAAATGTTTTCATCTCCAGGTTATTCTGACGTAAAGAACAAGATTTTTAACTGGAGAGTTTTGTAATTGTTTAGCTTCTCTTCGCACTTACAAGGCCATGTCAACGTTAGATTATGGTACGCGTCCCGTATTTCAACCATATCTTCGCCGCAACCTCCTTTACCTCAGGGCTTTTGCCGATAGGGTGCGTCTTCTTTCTTTAATAATGCAAAAATTATTATCTTTTCTTCATTCAGAATGTACCTTCTTACACTTTTGGTGAAGATGTGCCACCTTTGCTGTGGCCATGGAAGCCTGTGCGGACTGTCGTTAGACGTTCAACCGCAGAACGCCAGGCACACTTGGATGACATCATAGATGTGTTGTTATCCCGCAATTCTGCAGATGAGAAGGTAAGCATTGGTTCAGGCTAGTTTTGGGTTAGGCACGCGTTTAACTTTCGGTCATTTCTCTTTCTAAAATGTGATCTTTTCTAAAGTCTCGTTTATTGTTGTCTATGTGCGCTAATCATCGTA